GCCTCTTCAGCGCTTATGTGTTTCTCAGCTCGGTTCAGGAACTCACGATAAATACTTGGGCCGTCCTCGAGTACTGACCACCAGAATCTCGTTTTGGGTCTTAGACCTGCTAATACGGCCATGAGTGCCGAATCGTCAAATATTTTTTCTACTTCCATGTAGGGGTGTAAGCAGTCAGATTTTACCGATTTTTGACAAATTTTCAAACCAAACCGTTTAAACTGATTTGAGAAAAACTCAAACCTAAACCAAACTATTTTGAACGGTTTGAAAAAAACTCAAACCTAAACCTAACGGTTTGGTCCGGTTTAAAACTGCCGATTTCGTCTTATATTTTTTTGTCAGTCTACTTTTATGACACAAATTTATTGAATTCAATATATATTTATATCTTATTAGCAATAAATCTAAAACAATCTAAGCCCTTATTTCAACAAAATTTTTGGGACAAAAAAAATGAAAATTTGGACCATTATCACATAAGTCCAACTCCATTTGTTGACCTATTGTTTCGTGCGTGGGACCCAGCTTCCTTTCCAATGGTCAATTTTCTCATTATGATAACATGGAAAATATAGCTCGAACAAGGGCTAAATATATCTACTATAACTTTAAATATCTACTAAATCAAAATGAAATCACAATAAACTAAAACTTAGTTTTTTTTCTCACCTTTTTTAGGCTAATGACGTTATGATAACGTTACAATACAAGTCTACTAAACGAGATATAAGGCAAAAAAAAAAAAAATAAATCCAACAAGACCTCGTGAACATCATATTTGAAAAAAAAGTTATTGATTAGACAAAGAGAATAACCAACCACAATAATAAAGCAGTTATTTATAATATCTAAACATAACAATTACACAAGCTTACGTTTGTATGTTATTACGAAACGCATTTAATTTCAGATTTTACCTCAATTTGCTCAAAAAAATTATTGATTTGAAACTTTATTCGTAGCAAATATTATCACCGAAAGTTTAGGATCTCCGTCTCTGATTTGGTGTAATGGACTATAATTCAACTTCGAAGAGGCGTAAAAAATCGAACCACAATAATAAAGCAGTTATTTATAATATCTAAACATAACAATTACACAAGCTTACGTTTGTATGTTATTACGAAACGCATTTAATTTCAGATTTTACCTCAATTTGCTCAAAAAAATTATTGATTTGAAACTTTATTCGTAGCAAATATTATCACCGAAAGTTTAGGATCTCCGTCTCTGATTTGGTGTAATGGACTATAATTCAACTTCGAAGAGGCGTAAAAAATCGAAGAAGAAGTTTGTGTGGTGCTGGTGGCTCAAAACTGTGTCGGGTGTCGACTGGAGTTCATCTGAATCTGAAGAGGAAAATGACTTTTGATAGATTATGTTAGTTTTGAGATTATTAGATATAAATTAGGATTATTAGGTAATAATAATAAATATGTATTAGAGAATTAGAAATGGATAAAAATACCCACAAATGACAAAATTATTGAATATTACATATTTGGATGAATTTTCAAAAATTTTCATTTTTTCATTTTTTCATTTTTATATATTTTTTGCTGGTCCGGTTTGGTTTTAAACCACAATTAAAATTTTCAAACCTAAACCAAACCATTTTGATCGGTTTGGTTTGGTTCAAAACCATTTCGTTGACCGGGTCCACGTGGCACCAAACCGACAGGGCGTTTCAGGTCGGTTTGTCCTTGCGTAGGGGTCAGCAAGTGATGAGTCCCCAATCTGTCGAACACACTTGCAGTCCTTCTCACCTCAGGATCCTTGCTTTTGACCTCGTCAGTTTGGCTTCTCGATGATTCTCCTTTTGAAAAGTGGAGAGTCCTCCTGGTGGGGGGACGCTTTGCCTTTGTCCTTACAGAAGATTCCACCTCGGTATCTAGTGGAGACGAATGGGCTTGACTCCTTTCCATTCGCCCCACTGCATTTGTCAATTTTTCTAGGGCTTCCCTCGTTGCAATCATTTGAGGGTCCGCCATTGTGGAGAATTCAGTGGTACATTCGTTTCACGAGGGTGAGTGTGAGATGGATTTTTGGAACTTAAGCTATGACTCATGGCCCTTGAAAGAAAATTTTTTTTTTTTATGGAGCAGATGAAACTATTTTTCACAATTAGGGCCCTCCTTCTAGCGCTAAACTGTTGATGTCAAAATTAGCAAGGATGATTTTGAATCAACTTAAAAAAAAAAAGGTGATTTGTATTTAGAAAAGATCACAAAGATGTGATAGTGCCATAAGTCGTTATCTCAATTTTTTTCTCTTTACAAGGGTCCTACTCAACTATTTATATAGATTTCAGCCGAAATTACATCAAATCAATCAAATCAGCAATAGTGCCGAGCTCGCAACTCGGGTCGCCGAATTCTCCAATGATTGGTCAATGAGGTCAGTGGTCATGTGCCAATGTATTGCCAAAGTAATGATGACCTGTAGGGGGCTGGAATTCGAGGACTTGGAATTGGCCATTCCGGGCGGCAATGACATCACATGTGGCAAATGTCTCTGATTGATAGGGTGATGTGACAGGGGGTAATCATGATGTTTTTCTAAAATAACGACGGGTAACTCCGACCTGAGAGGGTGGGCCGAACTTACGTTTAATTGAGGTGGGGTTAGCGAACTATTTTTACCAGATCGGAGTTCGGATGTCAACAGTATGCAAAAGTGATCGATTGCTCCCATTCTTTAGAAACATGATTTAAAATCTATTCTTGAAAAAGTCATCATTGTCCCTCAACCATAGGTTAACAAAGTTTTGGCATTGACTGAAAAATATGCCTACGAAAACTACTTAAATTTAAATCTACAACTCCTTTACTAGGTCTCCCCACACCATTGGAAGTATGAAGTCTTCCTTGATCGTGCTATTGTCACTATCGTAAGTCCTAACCTCTGCTATCCATGTTACCTCCCTATTATTTTCGAAATTATCATTCGTCTTAACATTGTCTCCTTTGTTTATCTTTTGGATAGAATCTAGGTCAAAGCATAATTTAGAAAATTGAATTATTTTTAATAAAATGCAAAAAATAAAAAAAAATGCAGAGGTAGTGAGTCTCATTCAAAGTACAATATGAAGAGGTAGTGAGTCGCATGATTTCAAAAACGCAAAATGCATGTTTCATGCACACAATATTGGACAACATACAAGATTGTAATTTTTTTTTTTCTCTTTTTCAATAACTTCTAATACAGTTAATCCAATAAGTCAAACATACCAAAGGAATTTAAGCAATTTCTAGAAGATGGGTGCAGAGCACCTACAAGATCCACAGGAGTAAAATGATATTCAACCTTTTACATTTTTGCACCTAAATAGAAAGAACAGCTTACGTGGCCACACGTAAGTTTGCAAGCAATAGCATGACTAACTTCGTGAATAAATACAGTCACAAGCTTGAACGGCATCAGCAGCACAGTCCTCCATAACTACAAAGAAATAACTTGGTTGGCATTTACTATTAAACGAGGTCACAAATTCTACAATCAATTAGTTCATGCTGGCTAGAAAATAAACAAGTTGGTCATTTTTGAGATAAAAACTGAACAAGTAGGGATTCGCCTAATTTAAATACCAAATTCAAGTGCTTTACAAAAGCAAGCTTTGCTTTATCCAATGTCTAAAGACACGAGCTCAGCCTCGTCTGCTAGCAAAGGAATGGCAGATGAAGCTTAAATCAATTAGTGAAGTTCAGTCAAACAAACAGAAAGAAATCATCAAATACTGAATACGATCTAGTAAAGTCACCGCCCCTGATTATTCCTCTTCTAACTTAATCAAATTTATGAAATCAATAGTCAGGTACACGTAGAAGTACCAATGTAAAGTATGAACAAGTGATTAATAATGAGCTCATGAGAGAAATAGCAGTACATTCAAAATTGGAACCCAAGCCAAGAATAACAGGATCTTGTGTGTGCATATGAATTTGTGTGTTAAGAGAGAGAGGGCGAGAGTTACGGCGAGGATGACAACAGCACAGACAGACAAGGTGGTGAGGAAGACCACTTGCTCTCTATTGCAACAATGCTTCAGCTCCCAATTCACCATTTTTGAATCTTGAATCTTAAATCTTTTAGCAGCATATGAAAGTACCCTTTACACTAATTTGTGCTGAAACCCCAACCCCATTCCACGGCCCCACACCCCAAAATTACTGCTGCATAACAATCGGAGGGATTGCCTCATTTTTTATAAAGAAAATGGTCGGTGGGTGCACTGTGTGAAGTCATTTATTTCCACCGAAAATGTATTGATTGGTGAAGGTACTTGGATCTTGATTCTATGTAAAAGAAATTTCTGACATACATTACTGGGTTTCATTATTTTAATGTGAATCATTGACTCGTGTCTTGGGAGACATCATTTGACTTCAAAAATTTCTTCCTTTTTCACCTCGGATCCCGCGGGGAGTTCAAATTTTTCTCCACTTATTAGTACTGTAGCTTTTAAAGATGCGTTGTGTTTTGTACACCCTGAATGATGGCCCTCACAAGACGGGGCTCCGATTGTCCGGTACACCCCGGACGGATGGCAAAACAAGCATTTCAGCCCATGTTTGGCTCGTAGAAAATAAGTTTTGAAAGAATAATTTTTTGAAGTGTGTGTTGTAAAAACATAAAAAATGTTTTTGGTTTATATAAAAAATATTTTATTGTGAGAATTTATGATTAAAAATGAATTTGATAACGTTTATAGTGTCAAAATGCCCAAAGCACAAGCGTAGAGCATGTCATGATCAATCTAATTCAAAAGCCAAGCAAAGCAGAGCTCAACTATAAAATATTAGAAAGCTTGTAGGCTCATAACGAATCATGTTAATTTGTTGTGTTAGATCATTTTAAATTGACTCACACTAAGGTCCAACTTACACATCTAAATGAAATATATTTAGTACCTTCGATTTGACAAAAGTGAAAACAAACAAGGATTGTGCTATGTGTACACAAAACAATACACCCCCACATGACGTGGGCCCCCTCCATGTGAGGGTAATTTATTGTGTACGCCATAATAATCCAACAAAAAAACATATAACATTTTTTTATTTTAGGGCCTGTTTGGGAACGATTTTTCCTCCTAAAAAATTAATTTTTTGACCGTCATTTCACTATTACAGTTGTTATATTTGACTTTTTCTCTCACAGGTGGATCCCACTTTTCTCCTAACAGTCAAAAAATCAATTCTCAAAATCACTACCAAACATGCTCTTATTCAATTCAACATATCAAATATAGCATTGGTGTTTAATAGTTTGTCAGGGAAGAAAATGAATTTACAAGTAACAAATCCTACGTGAGCAACAAAATGGAGATTGTTTTGTATCATTTTCTTGGAGGAATAGAAGTTGCTAAACCTCAAGAGCATAAAACGAGAAACGCTAGCAGCTACAGCGAAAGAGAATCGAGCATCACACAATATTACTATGTGAAAAAAAATTGAACTCTTGTCCATCATACTATTGAATTTTATTGTACCAAACATGCACTTAATGTTCCCGCATACATAAGAGTTCATAATGTCAAGGAAAATCCTTGAAATAAACGAACTAACTTCAGTTATCATATTCAATAGATGATCGACAAGTGTGTAAAACACACTTGTTTTAACCACAAAACATGGATATTTGTTGATAAATATGACTTAATTCTATATAAATTATATTTTGTAGGACAACGTTGATGAATATAGCCAAAAAGACAAAAATGGAAGAAATTTAAAGTTTAGGGACCGAAATGAAAATGGCCAAAAGATTACCCTGGTAGCAAAATCAAAGATGTGAAAGAGTTAAGGACGAAGACATGAAGTATTGGAAGAAGAATAAATAAGAAAAGAAGTCAAAAAATGAGAAAACGAGTTTGAGGACTAAAACACAAAATTTGGAATCTCGTTAACACTATGCGGTGGGATAGTGTGTTTGCTTATGCAATAGCACGTCCATTTTCAGCAAGTTCAGAGGCCAAGTTCCATGAAATTATGCTATAGCATTGATTTGTATAGTATAGTACAATTTTGATGGAAAAATTTTGGTTTCCTTATATGATTCAAATTCTTAAGAAAACAAGTCTTGGGACTTCATTTAAAGACTTAGGGCCATTCATAAGTGTTCACAACGCATCATAATACATTCATAGAGGTTTTGGAGCATGGAAGGAGGCAAGAAACACAAAGAACGATTCCAAGACTCGAGGATTCAATTGAAGATTTATTTGGGTGATGTTGTTTCTTTAATATTTCTTTTGCTTTCTTCTTCCTAACATGTTAGGCTAGATTTATTTGCGCTAGGAGAACGAAGAACCATGTTGTATGAATTTTGAATCTTTAATTTTACATATTTAACATCAAAAAACACATTTTTGGATATTGAATAGTTTTCTCCACGATTATTGTGCATTGTACTTGTGTGACTGTGCTGACTTATTTTATGCATTTGAAAGAAGGGAAATAGGCTCGACATGGTATAAATCGTCATAAAGTCCGATGGAGAATAGAAATATATTATTATGCTTTATGTGAATCTTTAAGTATTAATAAAAATTCACACACTCTTGTATGTTCACATTCGTTATAGAAATATAGTCGAATCATATATGAGAGTAGAATTGACATCACTCAATAGAGATTGTTGAATAAAATAGAAATATTGATTCTTCAAAATTCAATCACATTGTTGAAGTGTGAAACTAAGGTTAAAAAAGAGTGTTACACGAGAATTCCCGATCCTGCTGCGTTTGTTGTCCATTAAACATATTAATTTGCATTTTGTTTAGTTATTTCATTCTTAATTGCATACGTAGCTTGTTTTAGTTATAATTACATCACAACAACCGTACCTTATTATTCTTGTTTCGATTAAGGTCGAGATAGTTAAAATCGAACTAAATCAATTCTTATGAAACAAAACTTGGACTCACATCCCATTTATTACTCGTTAACGAATCGTACACTTACGGAAGTTTTAGATTGAAAAATATTTTTGTGAACAAATGATCACCGAATAGAGAAAAAATAAAAAGCAGAGAAATCAAAAGAGGACTGAATATACATCAAAACATACATTATAACTCAACAATACAAGTCATCTACCTTCCTCCATGGATGAATGGGAGATCGAATTTCTAGAGTAATCCTCGACAAAACTACTACCAATGGAGACCTTAGTACCGCCAGTTTGAGTGATAGTGCTACCATTTGTATTGTTAGTAAAAGGGGCAGACGATGTCGTAGTAAACCGGCCTACACGACCATGGATCCCGGGCTTCCCAGGTCTAGGTAAAGTGAAGGAATCGCTTGATAGCATAAGATTAACAGAGTTCATATCTGGCCTATCTGCAATACTAGCTTGACAGCATAACAGTCCCAATTGAATGCAGATTGCAGCTTCTTCGGGATTGTATTTATCGAGGCTTCCTTTAACTAGCTCCTCTGACTTCCCCGCCTCGAAAAGTGTCCATGTCTATAAAGATGAACAAAGTCATTAAACACAAATACATATTGTTGAAGTACCTCATCTAAAAGTTTTAATTGTTACGGGGAATACATTTCTTTTTTAACTTTAATCTCCATCATGCTACATGCAAGGCCATTTCATTTTTTTTTCATTGAACACCAAACTCATACCCAATTTTCAACGAGGGGGGGGCTTAGCATGCCGCCTCTTTCTTGTCATGCGTAAAATAAACTAGCATTATAAAAGAAAAAATGGCCATAATTGGGAAAGGAAATTCATAATTTCATCGCCACTTACATAGTTTAAGAGGTCAGCCTTTTGAGCATCAAGAAACCCGTCATGATTCTTTCTCCCACTGACAATTTCCAAGACCAAAATGCCAAAACTAAAGACATCTGTCTTCACAGACAAATATCCACGAATTGCATACTCAGGAGCCATATAACCACTGCGATAAACAAAGAGAATAAACTCCCTGAAAACTTGAGAAAAAGCAACGGAAAGAGATGAAGAGAGAACAACTCACTGAGTGCCAGAAATCCTAAACGTGTTTAAATGTGTGTCGTCCCCGGGAAATAACCTTGCCAGACCAAAATCTGAGATTTTTGGAATCAACTGCTCATCAAGCAATATATTACTGGCTTTAATGTCTCTATGGATTATCCTTTCAGGCGCTTCTTCATGCAGATAGAGAAGACCTCTTGCAATACCACTAACTATTTGATATCGTTTCTTCCAATCCAGAAGCCGAGACTTCTCCTTATCTGAAAAGTTACACCATGCCAACTTGCATATCTTATTCAAAATGTGCATAAATAAATAGTCTAAGTCATTCGGCAGACGAAAAAATTTACCAAAAAGGAAATAGTCAAGGCTCCTGTTAGGCAAATACTCGTACACAAGCATCTTTTCAGGTCCTTCCACGCAACATCCTAGCAATGTGACTAAGTTCCTGTGTTGAATTCTCAATAACAGTTTCACCTCATTTGTGAATTCTTTTAGCCCTTGTCTAGAATTCAAGGACAGCTTCTTCACGGCTACTTCTTGACCATTTGGCATCAGTCCCTAGGAAAAGGAATATGATAAATGAATTCATTAAAAAAAGGTCACCTAGTAATACCTCAGTACTTATCTGCACGACAAACACAGTTGATTGATGCAGTGAAATTAAGATGCCAGCTTGATGACGTACAAAAAAATGATGAATGGTTAGGGAAGCATATAAGACAGCTAAAATATCTTTACATTCACAGAACTCGTAAAGCAATGATTTTCTTTTATCTATTTTTGTTCTCCTAGCAATAAAAAGAATTGAACTCAATTGTGAAACTAGCGTTCTAGTCTGTATTAATTCCTAGAAATGCTCACATCAAGATGAAGTGGAATTCACTTCGCTCATAGGGCATACTTTATTATTGATCCCGCAGCTCACACGCATTTAAGTTGCAACTTCAGAAAACCCTCCTAATACCCACATGATTAACGATTACTCTGCAGCTAAATATCTCTGTGGTGCTAGCGTACTAAAATCAAGTAAAATGTGCATTAACACAAAAAAGACATTTAGCGCATTAAATTACAATTATTATATAGCCATGGTGGTCAAGTTTAGGGTGTGGACAGAAGCTAATTTCAGAAACTTTTATATTGTCAGAGATCATTAAAAATTCATGTATCCATACACAGGAATGCTCATAAGATCGAACGAAAAAGACCTTCCATATAAAATATCGTTTATAAATTATTTCTACAAGAAGGTCGACAACTTCCATTTCATTTATTAGTAGACCGAAGATCCAAGTCCATGGTAACACATTAGTGCCTTAAGAATGTGATCAAGGCATTTGACTCTGCTGAGTGATAGTATTGGTGTGCTTACAGCATAAGTAACATCTGTCTTATTTTGAATTTTTAGCGAGACAACATTGCCATGAGCCCATAATTAAGCATAATTAAAATTGTAAAGTCTTTGAGCTTTTATTCTGTCATGTGTAATGTTGGAAGGTTATTAAGATTCAAATCAGAAAAACATTAAATTTCTCCATCATGAAGGAAACCTGATGCAGGAACTTAACAATTTTACAACGAATAATTGAAAAAGAAACAAGAAAGATAAAGGGGATCAAAGAAGAAAAAAAATTAGGGCAAGAGAATTCGAGTTATTTATATATTCAAGGGTGCCTATTACAATGAATAAGCCCTCTATATAGAGCAACTAATCTTTAAAAAAAAAAACCTAGAATTTATCAAAATATTAAAACTAATATAATCTGGAGTTCGTTTGGTAGGGATTTTGATAATTGATTTTTTGACCGTTAAAGATAAAATGAGTCCTATCTGTAAGAGAAGAATTCAAAATTGACGGCTAGAATAGTAAAATAACGATAAAAAAATTGATTTTAATTGACTTTTAATCTGTACCAAACAAGCACCTAATCTAAATAAATATATTTTAACTCAAGCTCTACGTTAAAATTCTATTTAAATTCTATCTCTATCTCAATTAACATTTATTCCAGGTCATATATTCTACTCCTAGGTTCATAACAACGTTGGCTGACTAGCCCCTTTTTGTTGGGTTTGTGATCCAAATTAGGGTGGATTTTTTTATTTTTTTTAAATAAATTGTTTCCTTATTTTCATGTGGAAAAATTTATTTCCTTATATTTCACGTGATTTTTATGAAAATATATTATTTCCTTATTCCACATTATTTCCATCTTTATGCTATGCCATGTATCTAAAAATAATGGTCTTCTCTTTCAATTTTGTTCAAGTAAGAATTGTCGAGTTCTTGTATTTCTTTCTATATTGTCGATTAATAAAATATCGTGCTTCAGCGATTAACTCTCTCTGTTAATTTCTTTACTTTTACATATTGTTTCTCGTTGCGATCTTCATTACTTCATATCGCATCATTAATCTCATTCACTACAATCCTTCTGAGTCCAACAAGTGGTATCAGAGTTTGTTCTTGTTGTGGATTTGTTGAGATTTTTCATAGATGGCTGCTTTGAAGTATGGTATTCCACAATTGGATCGCCATACAAGATTTTCTTTGTGACAAGTAAAGATGAGGGCTATTCTGGCGCCGTTGGATTTGGACGATGCGTTATTGGGCTTTGAGAAGATGCCCGCTAATTAGACAATGGAGGAGAAACAACGGAGGGATCGGAAGACTTTGTCGTTGATTCATCTTCATCCATCTAACAATATTCTGCAGGATACCTTGAAGGAGAAAACAGTAGTTGCTTTGTGTTTGAAACTGGAGCAATTATGTATGACCAAGAGTTTTTAAGGAAACTAGCTCTAAAGCAGAAGCTATATTCCCATCGCATGACGGAAGGAGGGTCGTTGGAAAACCATATTGCCGTGTTCAAAAAAATTGTCGCGGATTTGAAAACATTGGAGGTTAAGTACGATGAAGAGGATTTTGCCTTGATCCTTTTATGTTCGCTGCCTGACTCTTATGCGTTGTTTCGAGACACCATTTTATATAGTCGGGATACTTTGACTATAGACGATATCTATGATGCTTTGCACTTAAAGGAGAAGTTGAAGCATTTGGTTGAAACTACATCGAGGGATGAAAAAGCTCTTGTATCTTATGGTGATCGACGGAGGGGCAAATCGAAGAATAACAGCAATTTGTTTTGCTTGCAGACGTAAAGGACATATTCGGAAGGATTGTGATAAGTTGCAGGCTAAACGTGATTTAGCTGCAAATCGTGGAGCGCAATCTTTAACTTCAGACTAAACAAATGCAACTGAGGATTTTTTAGACGTCGGAGATGTGATGTTGACTGTGATATCTGACATGGAATCTAGGCCTGACGAGGCATGGATTCTCGATTCGGCATATTCGCATCATATGTATTTCAATCAGAATTTTTTTCAAACATATAAAGCTTTCAAGCAAAGTGGAGTTGTGATGGGAAACAACCAGTCTTGTCATATTGATGGAAGCAGTCGAGTCAAATTAAGGTTGTGGGGTAGGACAGTCAAAACAATTGATCATGTTCGACATGTTCCAGACCTGAAAAGAAATCTCATCTCACTTAGTATTCTGGATACAAAAGGGCATAAATTCTCTGATAAAGGTGGAGTTTTGAAGGTCCGAATGGGTGTCCAGGTTGTATTGGAAGGACAGAAGAAGTATCAGTTGTACACCTTGCAAGGAAAAGCAGAACCAGTTAAGAGACATCAGGACAAGTTCATTACCATGGTATATATTCAGTTTGATACATTACCTCTTGTGACGGCTCTAGGTCGGTTCAGAACATTGCTCAGGGGAGCATTGGTGATTCTGCTTTGCCACCAATTTCATCGGATACACTGTGTTCATTTGCTAGGGTTGGACTCATGGAGTTTAGGTACCGTGGTGTCAATAATGTCTGGGATGATTTTAGGAACATTGTAGGTGACAGTTCTAGCAATGGGCCTTCTGATCCAGCATGCGGTATGGTTTCTGCTATAGAGTGTGCTTCGATCCTGTTTGGTCAACAGTAATTCCTCGGTGGAATTTCGAGAACCCAGGATGTCACTTGTGGACGCCTTACAGAGGACGACGGTTTGGTTTGGAGAGTTTTGGTTACTACGTTGAGGAAATTGGCTATTTCGATGCAGAAGGATTTGAAATCTTGGAGTTTCGTTCGTTGCACTAGAATTCGGATCAAGGTGGAAATTGTTGGATTTGTGATCCAAATTATGGTGGATTTTTTTTAGAAATAAATTGTTTCCTTATTTTCACGTGAAAAAATTTGTTTCCTTATATTTCACATGATTTTGATGAAAACACATTATTTCCATATTCCATATTATTTCTATCTTTATGCTATGTCATGTACGTATAAATAATGGTATTCTCTTTCAACTGTGTTCAAGCAAGAATTGCTGAGTTCTTGTATTTCTCTTCATATTATCGATTATAAAACGTTGTACTTCTGCGATTAACTCTCTTTGTTAATTTCTTTACTTTTAAATCTTGTTTCTCGTTACAATCTTTATTACTTCATATTACGTCATTAATCTCATTCACTACAATCCTTCTGGGTCCAACAGTTTTAGCGCCATCCACAAAAATTGTGCTGCGTGTCATCCCAATTATGAGTCCAGAATAATTATAGTTGCCATAATTTACTACACCCAATTATCACACCATTTCATAAAAAAGCCATTAGAAACAAAGGTTTTATCAAATTTCTCATGCTACTCCTCTGTTACCTTTTTTCAGTCCATGCCTCACAAAATTTACAAACTTTATTCTATTGTCCATGTAAAGAAATCATTTGGGTTTTCTTCTCCAATTAACAGAAGCACCAAATTGAAAGCAATTACACCCTAATTATAGATATTCCAGTTATTAGTAAATACTAAATATCAAAGAGATCGATCCATTCCCTTTTTGAGCACTATCATCAGCAAGAAATCTAGTTTCCTACTTGCCGATTGGCCATCAAATTTTGAACAGCCATTTGCATTCTTTACACCTCTAGGAAAATCTATGAGTTTCTCGCTATGAATTGCATCCTTCCAAAAAAGGTAGCGTCAATTCATTTCACCCTTGTTTGAGCCCCATTATCCAAATACTCATTTTTTTCCCAAACTCATTTTCAACCGCACATTCTACCTAGAAAATAATTTGAACGTAAACCCAAAACTCTTTCTTGCTTTTTAATCGCATATTCTCCAAAAAATTACTATTACAAAATTCTCGCTCTCTCTCTTTTTAATGGGGCTTAAACAATCATTTCCTCTAGATGTCTACTGTAAAATCATCCATTGTTCATGACTAAAACTTAATTTAATCCTATGCATATTAATTCATATTCAACGGGCAAGAGGTCCTTTAATTTACTACTAAATCATTAATTTGAAATTAAAATTGATCATGTGGTTAGATTAGTGATACGAGGAATTTTGAAATGCCAACATCTAATAAGACCGGTTGACAGTAAGCATTCCTCTAGATTGAAGATATATGTTCGTGGCTCGTAAACTCACAATATTAGTAGGTCAGTGATATTATTGCATCGATATAAGTTTCATTGGGCTTGGGCGCATCATATTTCTTTAGAGGAGTGAATACATGATTAATAAAAAATTCCTTAACCGGAATGGATTCTATGTATCGGTTTTGACTTAATTAAAATCATAATTATCCGACTGTGAATAAAATATTCATAGCCGGTTGAGCCAACGACCTGTGGTGGTAATAGAGATGACTTTTGGTAAACTAGATATTCTATCAATATTTACTTTTTTCCCCCCTCACTTTGAAGTAGAAATTTTACCAATTTCCAAATAACTCTCACCTTGAACGCTAAATTACTTGTTTCCAATTTCAATCAATAAGAGTTATTTATTGATCTTAAAATTTTCATAACCCAGAAATAGATAAGGTAAGGCGAAAAGGGTACCTTGTAGACGGGCCCAAAGCCGCCGTGACCCAGCCGGTTCAGGTCGGAGAAGAAATTAGTGGCAATTTGCAGCGTTTGGAGACTGAAAAACAAGTCGGAAGATTCTTCGGCGCCGTCGTCCACGGCGTCTTCTCCGTTTGTGGCCCTCAGGCGGCGCCGTAGACAGCTCCACATGTCGGAAAATAGTCCCATGGAGGCATCAAACAAACTTGCAGAATTGAATTCCCTACTACTATAATCCAGATTTGATATTTTCAACTGAAATTGTCCCTGATTTTGGATTTTCAGAGGTATACATTTGCTATTTTCTGGATTTTAATGCACGCGGCTTTGTACCAACAGGTGGGCTCCTTAAAATTGACCAAAAAGAAAGGGAAATTCAGCGGAAAAAGGTTTGTCAACGAAGTTGCTTTTCAAACTATAATTTTGGGGAGTTCCAGTCTACATTTTCTTCCAATTACATACTCAAAATACCCTCCAAGCTACAGTATAAAATGAATGTGTGGATTTATTGGAGTGAAGTGAGAATCAGGTGATGAAATTTTCAAAACTGTCTTCTTCAAGAGAGATGTCGTTTAATTACGTGGAAGTCAAAAGTAGATGTCCATTGCCAATCTCATACTCGACTGGTTCAACTCTATACTCTATTATAAAAAAAAAAGAAAAAAAAAAAAGATTGAACCACAATGAGTCCCTCGTCGCCCCGCCCCTGGAGCATCGTAAGAGAAGTTAATCGCGGGATGTGTCCCAACAGATTAGAAAACAAGAGATATCTGTACACTGGTGCCTACAAAGAGTTTCAATCCATGTTTCAGGAATTAAACTCTCGCACTGCGACTGCTAGCAAGATTAAGTATACTTCATCATAATCCTTTGCATCATTGGAATATGTCCCGGGGGGCTCTATACTCTATTAAGGTGTATTCATGTTAGAGTGTATTATTCGCAATGGTTGAAAACTTAAAATTCGATTAAAGTAATTTTAATTTAATGAATAATGATGTTCAGAGCTTGTTTGAGTTTCATTAAACGAAAAAAAAAATGCATTTTATTAGTCAATTGATGGAGAACGTGTATTTAAAAAATAAGGAAAAATTTAAGTTTACATGTAATATTATTTTATTGAAAAATGTGTGATTGAAAAAAAAAAGGAAAAAATATATTTTAAAAATAATGGGAAAGGGCTCATTATCAATTGTGATTATCATTAGTTTAATATTAAATTAGATGATATTGTAAAGCCAGGTCGTGGATGCTACGGAATAGGAATTATTTGTTGAAATAGAGAGGTGAAATGGTTGATGGTCCATCTAAATCTATCGAGGGTGAAACTTGCCATCACTTTGCTAAATGTAATCGCTATGATGGAGGATTTAAAATTCGCCATTGAACATAGACTTGACATCTCTTGTGTGGAGACCTGTTGCTACAATGTTGTTTATGTTGTATACAAGCCTAACCCCCCACGCTCCTAAAGGTTCTTGTCTTGGTTGTATTATAGATTTGCTTAAGGTTTTCTGGATGGCACATGCTTTTTTATCTATTGCTAAATAAAAGGCCTGTCACACTCCCATGCGCAAGAAACTTCCTTTTATCAAAAAAATAGCGTGGCTAGAAATTCCTGCTACTTTTGTCACGAACAACACAAATTCAGGCATAACTGAACAAAACTTCTGTATTAGCCCCATTATTACTCATTCATTTCTAAATTTATTTTCAACCATACACTCTTTCAATAAAATAATCTGAAATGAAAATTGAAAATTCAAAAAATAAGATTCAAACAAATCCAAATAACATTAATTTGTCAAATAAATAAAAACTCTATCATAATATAAACTAGAAAAAGTTCATTTTCCACAAGTCTATATTCAAAAAATTGGGTGATTTGTGTGTAAATAAACATAAACATGATTCAAAATAATA